ACATGAAAGGGGGTGTTGATGATTGTTGACATTTAAGCTCTGAAATTGAGGGAGTATTTGAGAGTTATTTGCGTTTGGTTTTGAAAAGGAGGAAAAACTTGAGGGTTGGGATTCAGGCTTTGAAGAGGATGCGGTGCTTGGCATGAAGTGTTGTTCTGATGAAGATTTGGGGTAGTTAAGTAGATTGTTGAGGGATTTTGAGCAGGGTTAGAGGGTGGGTTATTCTGGACATGTTCTAAATATGAATTTAGAGAAGTAAAATGGAGTGGAAGCCTTCTATCGCCTAGAGTGTTGACATTGACAGTCGGAATTAAAAAATCTTGTTTTTTCTGGAGCTCAACCCTCAATTCAACAATCTGTCGCATCAGCTGTGCAATTAACTCATTTTGTTCAATTGCGGGTAGTTGGACTATAGCAACTTCAGTTAGGCTGGTATTCTCATTATTCACTGTCATATTTTTTCTTCTCTCTATCAACAAATTTAGATTGGGAAAGTATTATTTTGAGAACTTTGAATGTTCAACAATTAACCAACACAAATCAGTTTTGAGTACCTGACAAATAAAAATGATTCAAACGACAAATGTGTTATTTTGTGTAGGTAATAGGTAATACAAGATAACACACACAAAATTGTAAGCACACACGAGTCACTTCATTTGAAGATAAACTATCCCACAGATAAATTAAAATTTGTCTATTTGATTCCTATATTAGTGAATTAGAAAAGTTGACATAAATCGAGACAAGGTTGATTTATCGTAATTCGGATTCTTGGTTGAAATGTAACTCTAATTTCTTTGTAAGAGTTTGGAAAATATAGAATTTCTAAAAAATAGGGATCGAACCTTGAAAAGTTGCCTACATATCTTATGGAGGAGAACTCAGGTCCTACGTAGTTCGACCCTTGAATCTCTTTTCTATTTAAGACGGTGAATCTTTTTTCGGATATCAAAAAGTTTGAATTTTTTTGAAAAACTAAAGACTCGAAGAATATTTGGATGCACTTTTGATAATGACGTGATATTTTTGTTTAAAGGGTTCTAGAAAATATTATTATTTTTTCTTTAGAATGATACGGATAGAACATCTTCAAATAAAGCAACATAATCATACAAACAGTTATAACATATAAACAGTTATTGCGATCTATAATATGTGACCCTTTTGAGCCAAGTGTAGGCCTCACGATTCTAGAGATGTATAAGTCATTTGATATATTTTATTGCCCCAATATCCAAATTTATACAAATTTAATGATTAAAACTTAATGGGGATACATAATAAGGAAAATTGGATACAAAATAATCAATCCCAAGCTGGGGTACGACCCTAAATTATGCCTCCACGAAAGATCCTTCTTCTTTCTTGATTTTTTGTCTTCTTCGGGTGCCAACGTCTTTGGATGGACTAGTAGCTTGTGAATCTCTTTCTTCAACCTAAATAAAATATACTATAATCATTACCCTATGAGACAATGATTTTTCAAACAACGTATACATCCTTCAAATTTAATCACATAAGTATGAACATCCATTTAGGCCGTGAGCCGTTTTAGGCTCAAGGTGGCCTTCCTAATGGGACCAACATGCCTTGGGTGTTAGGTTTTCTTAATTCAAAATGCTCTAAATTTGGATGTGGTTTAGCACTACACTAGTTGACTAAGAGTCCCGTTAGAAAGACAGGGAACCCAAGCGGACAACTTACGCTAGAATTCACGACAACCATTGGACGCATGACGAACCAATAAATTCTCGATCATTCCAGGAAATGGTTGAGTATAAAAAGTTCGGTTGCTGTTTCGTAAATCCTCCTTTAATATACTATACATATATATCGGAAGATGCCATGAAATGCAATTACAGTTTATGAAAATTTAAACATATTCAGCACAACAATCATTTTAACAATTAATAACAATTAGTCAAACAGTCAAATCTCATGGTTAGAATTTAATTAATCCCCAGCAGAGTCCCCATTTCTGTTTTTCGAGAAAAATATAATAAAAGAAAAAATGACACAGTTTCAAAAAATCAATTAATCTTATGATTTAAGAGAAACCGATTTTCCAAATTAACAGAGTCGCCACTTAATTTATTTTAGTAAATATCAAGAAAAACTTATAATTATTTTCAAAAGAATTAAATAGATAAAACAATTGAAAAAGGATTCGAAATTCAATTTACACTCCAAGATGGGTTAGGCCCTCGGAATGTCCGCTAACTCGCGGTTGACCGACGATTTGACTAAAAACCTTTCAAATTATTTCCAAGTTTTAAGTAAGTATAGAAATTTCATTTTTTTTATTCATTTACTTATTTTATTATTACTTAATTATTTCAAAATGGAAATAAACTAAAGGGGGATTTTCTAAGGAAAATAATTCGAACTGTCAACAAGACTAATAATGAAAATAGAGTTAAGAATTAAATAATAAATATTTAATTTTAAATTCTAAATGAGAAATGTCTATCTTTGGGAGTTAATTAAGCCAAAATTAAAGATCATGTTAGTTAACACAATAACAAATAAATAAAGAGGAAAAGGGAGGACTATTAAAATTGGGCCTTTGGCCCAAATTCATGTACATATGTCCTACTACTAAAAAATACCCAAATAAGGGTTTGGGTCTATTTGATGAAAAAATGAAAAAATTAGCTATATAGACATAATATAAAACATATTAGTTAAGATAACAACACTTTTAAAATATTTGTTTAAAATATCATAATGACAATATTTTCAAAAATAATTTGTATTCACATTTATATTTTTGGGATTTCCTTTTATTAATTAAAAGAATCCATAATTGGATCAAGCTCTAACCAATAAAAAATTTAAAATAAAAAACAAATGCAATATTCTCACCACATCTTGTTTCTCCCTTTTTCATGTCATTCTCTAAAAATAATTGTCACCTTTCAAGTTCCCAGGTTTTCTTTATTCTTCAAACAAAATTTATTCAAAATTTGATTCTTTAACAAAATCTATGCATTAATTCAAGGATTTTCTTGGTTGATAAACAATCAGTATACATT